TGACTTCAATATGGTTTGTGTGCATATAAATCATTCTGCCGATTTTTTTCCGTATCGGTTCATAATTGGTAATAACTCCCATATAATTTCGATTTGCGAAAATCACTTAAACGTACACAGAAAAAATTATCGGTAGTTTATTTTTAATTAACATGTTTTCCTCTTTCTTTAACTTTTATTTAAACAATTTTTTAATTGTCATAATTATCTCATTGTTTTGATCCTAAGTATACAAATTTGATTAAACTTTTAATTGAATCAATTAATTTTTTAATTGGCTGAAAAAGTTTTTCTACTACTTTTTTATTTTGGTTTTTTGTTTTGATATTTTATTTAAATAATTTCATTATTTATAACAGAAAATAATTCTCAAATAGTCAATAATATTTTAGGCATAAGAAGTTGAAGTTTCATAAATATTTTAAAATTTATAAATCGCTTTATTTGTTCAAATGTGACAATAAAGAGATATTTTTGAGAGTGCTTAACGCATTATTAAAGGTAAAGGAATCCTTTAATGTTGTAAGCATTCAATTAATGCTTTGATTGTTTCAATCATCGACTTTATTGATTTTTAATACATTTTTAACCAAACTGTTCAATTTATTTGATTAATAAACTAATTAAAATGTAAGTTTTATTTTATTAAATATTTAATTTATCCAATTAATGAATTAACTAATTTTAAATTTTGAATTTAATTACTGATGTTAATTGTTTTGATTATTTCTTTAACTGGAAAAAAATATTTTTTTACAAATTTCATACTTGATATCATCATTTTGTTGATAGGTGCAAAACTTGCTTGATGCAATCAATTTGATAATTAAAATACATTTTCAGTTTTTTCTGTGTGCATATTTCATTTTCAAATAAAGCTTTATAATATAAAAATAAAATTCGACACAAATATGTTTCCTGTATATATGAATCACTTTACGAAATTTTTTTCGGATGGGCCCATAATTGGTCACAACTTCCAGTACCATTTCCGAAAATTACTTAAATGCCCATTGACAATCAAAGTTATGGGGATAAAATTCGTCATAAATGTGTATTTTATAAATATAAATCATTTATCATTTTTCTAGTGTTCAGTACATTCCAACATTCGAATCTTAAAAAGTCAGTTTCTCGGGACACTCTAATACTCTAGGGTTCTTATTCATAAACGTTTATCAAATGTTTTTAAATCAAATTTTCATACAAAATTTGTTCTATAAACCTTTGATAAAAGTTTATGAATAAGGCAGTAGATATTTACTAATAAATATTAATTTTGTACCCTAAAAGCAATATAAATAAAATCTCTATCTTTTATAGATTCACAGATTTAGTATTTAATTTTAGTATTTTAGTACATATTTAATTTAGTATTTTATTTATATGCAACGCTCGTTATTAATTAATTTCTAGTCCTACAATTTTTCCTTCAAATTGATTATATGGATTGCAATGTTACCCATACAAACTTTTAGAATTTTAGTTGTAATAAATTTCCAGATATACAATAAATTTATTATTTGGTTCATATGTGATGTGCCACGCCCCTATTTCTAATCCTCCAATTTATTACTCAAATATTCACATGAATGACATATTTGTTTGTGCTAAATTTGAGGCTTCTAGCTTTAAGCGTTTCCTAGATATACAAATTTTTGTATTTAATTCATATGGGGGGGTGCCACGCCCCCTATTGCTAGTCCTCATATGGATGTCAAAATTGTCCATAAAAAATTTGAGGACTCTAGTTGTACCATGTTCCAAGATATTCAACTTTTAAAAAAGTGGGCGTGACAATTTCCAATAGGAATTTCCCCCTCCCACTGAAAATTTCAAGAAGATCGCTTCAGTGGTTTAGCCTCCTATAAGGTACAAACAAATAAACAAACATACATTGATTTATATATATATATATATATATATATAGATATGTATGTGTATCAAGAAGATAAATAACAAAGATTCTTTGAACATTTCAGGGAAAACAGTTTCGTATTTAGGGAGACTTATCAAAATTCACTATAAATTTACTCACAGCTGGCATAAGCCATCACATGTTAGGATATACCCGGACTGTATTTTATTATACACATTTTTCCATTAAAATTATTATTTAACAAGTTAGAGTGTTATATTCGGCTATGCCGAATCTTAAATACCCTCCACCAGCAAGCTACTATTTATTGAAACCCATTTAACTATATAATTTTTAGATGACTTGGCAAAATTTTTGTTTCCTTATTAAGGGTACTAACATATATGCATATGTCAAACTAATTTTAATTAGGTCTAGGAAAATGTATATTGTATATTTTGAATTTTATCCGGATGTAATCATTTAATTACGAATTAAGTGGTATTAAGTGGTTTTCAGAAGTATACCTTATATGTGAGCTAAGACAACCTATGGACCGATCCGGAAGAAAAAATCCGTAGAATGATTTATATATACAAAATACACATTTATGTCGAATTTTATCCCGATAATTTTGATTGTTAATGTGCATTTGAGTCACAACTCCCATATAAGGAAATGGTCCTTATATGGGAGTTGTGACCAATTATCAACCGATAATGAAAAAATTTCGTATAATGATTTATATGCCAAAAAAAAAATTCAAGTCGAATTTTACTACAATAGTTTCATTAATTAATGAAATATGTGCGTTTAGGTGATTTTCGGAAGTGGACTTTATATGTATAGAAGCTATGACCTTACACAAAACATATTTGTGTAGAATTTTATCAAAATATCTTTATTTGATAATGAAATATGTGCGTTTAAGTGACTATTTTGAAGGAAATATTATCATATATGGAACAATCCGGAAAAAATTTGGTAGATTGATTTATATGCTCACAATGCATATTCAAGTCGTACTTTATCCAGATAGCTTTATTATAAAATGTGCAATTAAGTGATTTTCGTAAGTGGGAGCCTATCCGGAAAAAATTTCGTAGAGTGATTCATTCATATAAAGACAAAACATATTTGACAATTAAATATGTGGGTTTAAGTAATTTTCGGGAGTGGGACTTATATGGGAGCTATGACCAATAATGAACCGATCCGGGGAAAAAGTGGTAGAATGATTTATATGTTCACAAAACATATTCAAGTCGAATTTTATCCTTATAGCTTTAGAATTTAATGATATATATTCGTTTAAGTGATTTTTGGAAGTGGACCTCATATGAGAGCTATGGCCAATTATGAGCCTATCCGGAAAAAATTTTGACTCATATAAAGACAAAACATATTTGTGTCGAATTTTATCACGATAACTTTATTTGACAATGAAATATGTGCTTTTCGGAAGTGGTCCTTATATGGAAGCTATGACCAATAATGGACCGATCCGTAAAAAATTTGGTGAAATGATTTGAATGTATATCAAACATATTTGTGTCGAATTTTATCCCGATAGCTTTATAATTCAATGAAATATATGCGTTTAAGTGATTTTCGGAAGGGGACTTTATATGAGAGCTATGACCAATTATGGGCCTATCCGGAAAAAATTTAGTAGAATAATTTATATTTATACGAAATATATTTATGTCGAATTTTATCACGATAGCTTTATTTGACAATGAAATATGTATTTTTAAGTGATTTTCGGAAGTGGGGTTATATGGGAGCTATGACCAATATTGGACCGATCCGTAAAAAAATTTGTAAAATGATTTGTATGTATACAAAACATATTTGTGTTGAATTTTATCCCGATAGCTTTATAATTCAATGAAATATATGCGTTTAAGTGATTTTCGGAAGGGGACTTGACCAAATATGGACCTATCCGGAAAAAATTTCGTAGAGTGATTTATATTTAGACTATACATATTTGTGTCGAATTTCATCAAGATAGCTTTATATGACAATGAAATATGAGCTTTTAAATGATTTTCGGAAGTGGGCCTTATATGGGAGCTATGACCAATAATGGACCGATCCGTAAAAAATTTGGAAGAATGATTTGTATGTACACAAAACATATTTAACTCGAATTTTATCACAATAGCTTTATTCATCATTGAAATATGTCCGTTTAGGTGATTTTCGGAAGTGGACCTTGTATGGGAGCTATGACCAATTGTGGACCTACGTTAACAGTATGATTTCCGTTCATATTATATTTGCATGTACAAAATTTTGTGTTGATACCGATATATTTGAGGGAGTTATTAACGATAAACTAATTTCCGGGAATATATACCTTTGTATGGGGCTATGGGAAATATTGGATCGATTCTAAAGATTTTCAACATAATTGATCACTACCATGAAAAAATAATGTGTGACAAAACTCATCGAAATATCTTTAGTAGTTTCTGAGAAAACTTCAAAAGAATTATGAAAAAAACGTAATTTTTTTCGAGGTAGTCTGAAATTTTTACTCATAACTTTTTACGTCGTGAACCGATTTTGCTGATTTTCAATACCAAACTGCTTAGGATAATAATAAATATTTTGGGTGAATTTGGTTGATTTCCTTTGCTTAGTTTTAACGTGAGCGTGTTTTACACAGACAGACGGACAGACGGACATAGCTAAATCGACTCAGAATTTCATAAGGACCCAGAATATATATACTTTGTTGGGTCTTAGATGAATATTTCTTGGTGTTACACACGGAACGACAAACGTATATATACCCTCTATGACCACTGATGGTGGTGGAGGGTATAATAATCTACAATCTAATTACTCAAAGTAATATTTACGTAAAACATAAACTAAAGCTTAACGTAAAATATATTTTTAACAAAACTACCGGTGAAAATACAATGTAATCTGAAGTAATCTATGCTCTACACAGATAAACTCATATTAAATAAACATAATATAAACAAATTGCAATTTTTATTTAAATCGCAGAATTTATATAAAGTAAATACAGGAATCAACAAAAAAATCTATAGTTCGAAAGGTTATCGAAAAAAATTTTAAACAAAAAATATTTGTTGCCTTAAGTGAAATTTTGCGCTCTCAACTGTTGAAAGGCGACAATCATTGACAGTTTTAAACACATATTCAACGTTTAATAACACTCAGCAATTTTTGTGATTTATATACTTGTTTAATTCTTATTCTTGTGCTTAAATAAAATTGAATTTAATTTAACAAAAAAGTCCAGAGAAATTACAGTAAAATGTTAAAAATTGTTTTATTGTTGGGTGTATGTTTTGTTATTCTCTCCACGGGTGAATGTGGTTTATCCAATCTTCTTCATCGTAAAACTACAACCGAACAACCTGAAATTACAACTATCGTAGCCAAGGATGGTGTACCAGCTGGCTATTATAAATCGAACAATTTACCCCAAGTCAAGGAGGGTTGTGAAATAAGATTCGAATGCAAAAAGAAGCTTAAGTCTGCCGAAACTCCCAAACCCTGCACAAAATTTTGCGTCAAATCTATAAAATGTGAGGATGGTACCAAAATCAATGGTGCTCCCGGTCAATGTATTGAATTGAATGAAGAAATGGTGGCCCAAGAATACAATGATTGTAAAAAGGATGAAGAGGAGTCCGGCGCTGTCAACGTTATGAAAGTAGCCATGATTGATTTTCCTTGTCAACCAGGTTACTTGCCCGACAGCCGTGGTCGTTGTCGTGAAGTATGGTAAAAAATATTAGTGGCTACTAACGAACCCTTTCCCGCCCCCTAAAAAGAATCCAACAAATGTGGTGTGTGTTAAAAAATACTCAATTTTACTAAAGAATAAAAATGTTGCCTTTTGTGTGTGAATTCAAGTCAAAAAGGTGTAAAATAAAAATTGTTTAAAAAAATCATAATAAATTGATTTTCATTTTTACCTTTTTCTTTGAGTTTGTATTTCAGCTTTTTTTTTCTTCAATCCACTTTAAAAGAGAACATGTGTCACATATTCGACATTAGCTGGTTCCTATAAATCAGTGGGCAAAAAGTGTGTGTGTTGAACAATTTGTGTGTAATCAATGAAAATAAAATATTTTGTAAAGACCACAATTTCTGTTATAAAAATATACTTAAGTACATAAGAATAGTACATGGAATGGAATTTGTTGTTATCAGTAGACACTTGTGTTTGAATATCAAGGTTGTTAATATTTTGTTTGTAGGTTTCTTCTCAATGAGAATCTAATTAAGTTTTTCTGTTGTTTTGAAAAATTATATCAGTCTATGTAGAAATTATTTAGAAATTTTAATACTTTTGAGGGAGCTTTCGTCTTACCCTAGAAAGGTGAGTTTTAAAACGTGTGAGCCTAATTTATTTTTAGTTCGTTATTTAAGAGACAAAAATATAAATGTGATAGACAGTGTATATAGAGATGCCGATATTTATACATCTTGTTACCCATTCAAAGAAAAAACTATGTATTTGAGAGTTAAGAATTCTTGCAAACAACAACAAGTAAAAAAGTACAATTGGGCATGGTCGACTATGCGATATCCTATACAAGTTAAGCCCCCTTCACACGAGCACACAAGTAATATGATCTGTCAAAATTTTGTGTAGAAGAGAACGGATGGGATCGTCTAAACGCAATATGTAATGAAACCATCACACAATGAGAGAAAATACGGATGGAAAATTTGACAGTCGTATGGCTCTCTTCATTTTTTGAAATGATTCAAAAAACAAGCAAGTCACATTAGATCAGGGATGTATTTTTATGTAAACACATACAAAAAAAGTGAAACAGTTGTTCCATCTTACTTTGATATTGTTTTATACCAATCGTGTAAACACAAAAAATGTAAATCATACGACTTTTATTCTCTTTTTTGTCATACGGATGGAATTTCATTTTACTTTTTCATTAGACTTGTCGTACGTAAAGTGTGACCGTGTGAAGGGCCCTTTATGAGTATAAAATACATACATCACCTTTTCGATATTATTTAAGCAATTAATTGCCGAAAAACAAATTTTCTGAAGTGGGCTTTCGGCAGGTTTATTAGTGTTTGTATAAAACTTAGTTTTATTATTATGTGCTATGTATATAACATTGTCAATAGGTTTTTGACGGACGCACGGAGGACAAGTCCTAATCGACTTAGCAAATGATTCTGAGTGATTCCCATTAAAGTGGTGTAGGGTATAAATACGTATATATTATATATACATATATAAAAAATGAATTTGTGTTTCTTTGTTTGTGGCTGTGTTTAAAGTCTATAAACGACTAGACAATATCGAAATTCATATGAAAAAATTGGAAGGAAAATAGCCGGACTAGCAAGTGGGATCGTGGAACTTTCCATATGAATCTACATATATATATATATATATATATATATATATATATATATATATATATATATATATATATATATATATATATATATACATGACGTACCACGCTCACATGCAAAATAAGTAATAAAAGTAGCATATTTCAGATTTTGTATGGATAACTTTGACATTCATATGAATACATAGGAATAAAATGGGAAGCCTAGTTACAGTGGGCGTGGCACATCTCATATAAATTAAATCTTTAATAGGTGTATCTGAAGAAATATAACAGCTATAGTCCTCATTTTTTCGGAGGCACTTTAGTATAAACATGAATGTTTAGGGCAAAAAATGGGTGGACTAGCAATAGGGGGCGTGGCACCTCCAATATGAATTAAATATTTAAATTGGCATATCTGGGAAACCATTGGAGATAGAATCTTAAATATGCACAAATTCCATTAACATCCATTAGCTTATTTAGGAGAAAAATGAGCGGACTTTCATAAGGGGGTCTTGGTACCTCCCATATGGATTGAAAATAAAAATTCTTAGATGTGAGAGCTAAAATTTTAAAATTTTGCACGAACTAATTTGACATTCATGTGAACATTTGGGTAACAATTTCACGGACTAGATTTTACGGGAGTGCTACCTCCCATATATAATTCCTAAATATTTTTTATAAAAAGTGGTGAAAATAATATAAAAAGAAAACATAACTACACTGTTGACCAAAAAATCATTAAAAATTTAGATTTTAAGTCCAACTGAATAGATACTAGGGTGATCGACTCGATTTTTCAACCGGTTTTAAAACCGGTTTTTTCTGCTTTACCAGTGTCGGTTTTTTCTTAATGTTGATTTTTCGAATATCGAATAACCCGGTTTTTTCACTTTTTAAAAACCGGTTTCGAATACTTTTATTTGCTTTGTATTCAAAGATTATTTAAATGAAATTTTTAAGTAAATAATAATACAGCCCGCCTAAATTTTAAAAATGTTCGAGTCGAGGAGCTAGCGTATATTTTTCTAAAGCTCCTTTAGTTAAACTTTTTTGATTTTCCTAATTAATTAAAAAAAATTTATTTGTAAAATTGATAACTATTTGATAAAATTTTATCAATCTTAAGATTATATTCCAATTACAATAATTAATTTACGGCTGAAATTTTATGGAAGTGTTGGAATGCCTATGCAAATTTCCTAAACAGGGCTTTTAAAATAAGCTATGATTACCTTATGTTTAACAGAAGTGTCCCACTTTTTTCCTAATTTTTTTATATTAAAGAAATAATGTAAATCAGACGACTAGATCTAAAGTTATAATCTTTTAAACTGTTAAAAATCATTTCGGGCCATGTTTTATTAATCAAATTTAAACATAAACATTAAGTTTTTCAAATTAAAATATGTTTTTTTATTTATAATGAAAAACCGGTTAACCGGTTTTTTCTGAATTTGAAAAATATCAACCGGTTTTTTTTAAATGTCAACTATTCGAACTATTCGAAAACCGGTTTTTGGAAAATGTCGAATAATCGATCACCCTAATAGATACACAGTTTCTGAAATCTACGATTTCTAAAAATTACACATAATTTTCTAAATCGATATACATTTTGATGTAAAAATCTTCATTTAATGGAATATTGTGATTATTTTAGTAATAAAACGGAATGGAATTGATTGCCAACAAAATTATTGAAAAATACTCAGAATTTTAAAGAAAAGTTGTTATGTGATGTAACGAATTTTTCGTTTTTCGAATGGTCGTGAAATTCCGTTATACGGAATGCCACTGTATTTTGTTTTTAGGGTGGCGCAGCACACCGGCCCAACACGACTATACATTTCTACTTTTTTAGCTTTACACCACTATAGTTGGGTATGTATAGTACCCACGTTTGTGCTAATAACGCACAAAAATATTGGAGCCGTCCGTCCTTCGAAAATTTAAAAAATGCAAATTTGATTAATTTGAAAGTTTTAGACCGAACTCTGCAGAATTTGGTGATTGATTAATTTATTATAAAAAAATAATTAATGCATTATATATCGATATATAGGAAGAGTTATATGGGCGTAAGGTTATGTATGGTTCGATCATCATGAAATTTGAATCATATAACACTCGTTTATTTCGAATTCCATATTAGCGTTAAAGTAATTTTTTGGAGGCAGGCTTATATGAGCGGGCGCCAACATTTTCCGCATGAAATTATAGACCGATCTACATAAAATTTGATTAAATGATTTTGGCTCGCAAGGAACTTACTTCAGTCTAATTGCATAGCTATACTCGTATTTTTAAGTCAGTAATGAGCGTTAAAGTCATTTTCTGAAGGGGATCTTATATGTGAGTTAGGGTCAATTATTAACCGATCCACGTAAAATTTGCTAAGAGATTTCGCCTCGTAAGAGACTTACTTATGTCAAATTTTATCGTTATACTCGTATTTTGAATCTAGTAATGAGCGTTAAAGTTATATTCTGAAGGGGACCTTATATGGGGGGTAGGATCAATTATAGACTGTTCGACATATAATTTGGTAGAGAGGTTTTGGCTCGTAAGAAACATACTTATGTCAAATTTCATCGTTGTACTCGTATTTTTAAGCCAGTAATGAGCGTTATAGTCATTTTCTGAATGTGAAATGGTAGGGTCAATTATGAACCGATACACTTAAAATGTGGTACAGAGATTTTGGCTAGTAAGACACTTACTTATGTTAAATTTCATAGCTATACTCGTATTTTTAAGCCAGTAATGAGCGTAAAAGTCATTTTCTGAAAGGGACCTTATATGGAGGGGTAGGGTTAATTATGGGCCGATCCTCATAAAATTTGGTAGGTGGGATGGTTGATATGAAATTATGAATATATGAAACTTATTTATGTTGAATTTCATTGCTATACTAACACTTTTCAAAAACATATATGCCCCTTAAGGCTATTTTTCGGAGGTCCACTTTTTGTGAAGAATTTAATAGGGACTCAGAATATACACTTTTGTGGGTCTATGATCAATATTTGTTTGATTTACAAACGGAATGACAAAATCTTTTTTGAAGGATGGTATAATAATAAATAAACATATTTAGAGTTTAAGCGGGTTAGAGGAAATAGTGAAGCGATATTTATATTCATTACCATCTTTTTGATGGTAAGCGTCATTTTTGAAATAACGTTAACACATTTTAGCAAAGACACAAAGAATATCAAAATAATATTAAGATCATTTTGTCTGGCATCATTAATGTGCTGAATATCAAAGACACTTTTACCCAAGACACTTACCTATTTTGCTATAAATTCAGCAAAATAATAATAATAAAGATGCCAGCCTAAAGCAAATACCCATAAAATAAAACAACATGCCAGATTTTTGTTACATCTAATGTTTTTTTGGGGGTTTTTATTTTAAAGTATTTTTTTTTATTAATTATTCATATTATTTCACAATTTTATTCTTGGTTTTTGTTTTTGTGTTTTAATATTTTTTTAGATTTTACTTACACATTTATATTTAATATATTTAATACAATAATTGTAATGTTTTTTTCGTTTTTT